GGCACTGGCCTGCTAGCCAAGGCCAGAAGGGCACCAGGGCCTCATACATGGTGTCATTGGCACAGACCATCACCAGGAAGCTGCCCCCATCTGGGCAGCGTTCCCCACAGGGTCCAATGTGGCAGGGTGGGGAAGCAGTGACATCTGGGGTGGGGCCCTGGCACACATGCTGGACCCAAGCCTGGTTGCTGGGGGGCACAGCCTGTAGACTTGCCTCCCCACACAGTCGCTCAGCCCACAGAGTCTCGTTCTCCAAGAAGCAGCCCCAAAAGATGTCTGGGGTGAGGGGAACAGGGGGCAGGCCTTCAGGGCAGCTGGTAAGGGGTGGGAGCAGGCCAGCACAGAGCCACTTCACCAGGCGGCGGTTGGAGCCAGACAGGGCTGAAAAGGAGAGGTTACTACAGATCGCATTCAAAAACTCATCAGGAAACTGGTCATGACAGGCCTGTAGCCAGCCTTGGGCACCTGGTACCCATGAGACTGCATACCACACAGCAGTCTGGCAGATGGCAGTGGTGCTGGGAGGGGGCTGTGGAGTGACAGGCTTGGTGTGTTGGCAGAGCAAGTGGATGGAGAAGTTGGAAATGCTGTAGGGTGGTGCTGGGCCTGAGTGGTTCTCACAGAGGGCCTCCAGAGTGATGGCTCGCCGTTGGCGTGGGCTGATGTGGGCTGAGGGCCGAGGAGCTCTGGGCAGAGGCACACCTGCGCTCAGGCAGTGAAGGAGGGCAGGGGGTGGGGGTGGTGATCCAGACAGAAAGCCCAGCGCCTGGACATCCCAGGAAAGGTTGTGCCGGACGCCCCTGGGTGCAGAGGGAGGAGCAGGCAGGATCTGGTCAGTTCACATTTCCTCTGGCTGAAGATTCTGACCCTGACCCAGAGCCCTCAAGGGGCATGGCAAGCATAGGCTTTTCTACAAGCGAGGTCCCTGAGAGTTTAGGCATTACTGGTTGAAATGCTGTGACAGGGCAAAAAGGAAAGAGCTGCCCCGCCAAGCTCCAAAATCACCTAGGAGAAGCCCCAGTTGGAATGCTTTCTGTCTACCTTTCTGTCTGCTCCCTTCTGTCTCCTTTCTTCATATGCTTTCAGATAGCTTAAACACAACTCTCAGCGGGCCTCCTGTTAGGAAATCTGCTCAGCAACTCAATATGTCTAACTATGCTCTGCACTGTTGTACTGAAGTAGGAAGAGGGTAGAGGAATCCAGTTGTGTCCTTATTTTCCAAATCCCATCTTTACTAGCTAACATTATTAAGCACTATGTGCCAGCACTGTTTTGTTTGCACACACAGTATCAACTCATTTAATCGGGTGCAACAACTCTGTGGTAACTAATATTATCATTCTCATCTTATAAATGGGGAAATTGAGGTATAGAAAGATTATGTAACCTGCCCAAGGTCATATGGCTAGGAAGACGTGGAGCTGGGACACCAACCCAGACAGTCACACTCCAAAACCACTAAACCACACTCCTCCCATCAGTTTTCCTCTCTAGAGGCTGATGTCGTCAGCTCTCCACCTCTAGATTTTCCAGGCCCAATCCCTCAGAACTGGTCCCCTCTCACTTACCATAAGAGCAGCTGTTGAAGGTTACCTAGGACGGAAAGAGTAAGGAAGAGAACTACCCCAGTTTCACTTTCCTTGCCCTGCCACATCCCAGCCCCAGCCCTGGCCACACTCACCTCCCTGGCACTGCCCATTGGCATCAGGCTCTGGCTGCCCCAGAATGGAAAAGACCTCATCCTGCAGGGAGTGAGTGACACGGAGCAGCCCCTCCTGAAAGGCAGCAAAGAGGGGGGCCCCCACTGTGCGTAGCAGACCGCCCCAAAGCGCCTCCTCGGACCCGAGCTCCCCTGTTGGGGTAAGCAAACCCAACAGACCCTGCAAAAAGTGAGGAGCTGCCTCCCTCCCATCGAGGCCTGTGGCATTGGTGGGATCCACACTGGGCTGCACCTGCACCAGAGCTTGCCAGCGTGTGCCCTCTAACAACAGCAGCAGAGAAGGCAACCAGTCAGCAGCCAGGACACAGTCAGAGGGCCCATTACGGGTGCATGGGGGCCGACTTGGGGTAGGGGGGCCCCCAGGAACTAAGGCTCCCAGCAACACCTCCACAAGTCCACCCAGCACCCCTGCCTGGTGCACCAGGAAATCTCGGGGAGTCTGCTCCTGTCCCAGCAGTGCCAGCAGATCCCCCAGCAGCCCTAGCATTGGCTCCCAGTCCGGGCTGCCT